TCAACAGACAAAAAAAAAGACTCACTCCTTTTACATTATAGTCAAACCCCATTACAATAATTTACAACACCCCCACCCCCTAACGCATAACACCATCCTCTATAACCAACCCAGATTTGTCAGTGCACGAAAAGGAACATCTAGGTATATATCCAGAGGTACCAACTGACCACAATGTCAACTTTTCAGGCCCCATGGAAACGCACATTAAGGGAGTCCAAATCCATGGATCCCAATATTGTCTAAAGCATCTTGTCACATGACTTTTTTTATATAAAGTGCAATATTACATACAAAAAGAGATTCAAAATATAAATAAATGTAAAGGCAAGAGTACATTACAAAATACAGAAAATTCCAGAAATTTATCTGGAAAATCGGCACATCTGTTTATATTACTGTGTATTATGGCGTATATCACGCAACTTTTTACTGAAAAAAGCAGGGCTTCAAAATCGCCTTGTGTCTTATCCTTGAAATATATTAAGTTAAATCCAAATAACCCAGGGGGGGGCGAACAAGGGAACGAAATACATGGGTCAGGTAATCAGTAAAATATGTTAATTTACCGTACAAGTACAACACATTAGGTAAGACCTATTATTTTAAGGCTATTCACCACGATAGTTCAGCATGAGGCTTGTTCAGTGTTGCAATTAATAAAACAGCTGACGAAAAACAGGTTATTAAAAAACTTTGATTTGTTTTGTTGTGAAGTGTTATTAGTAGTATCTGAAATACACTAACAAAGGGGATGGTGCTTGCCATGAAACATTGATGTATCTCATCCAACGGACATTGATTTGTTACAAAATTTTGGCTCTTCATTCTATCACTGCCTGTGTATTATCTTCGTATGTCAAGTATGTGCCCTCTACACAATGGTATACTATTAAACATACTATTTTCCACTTTAGTAAACTGCCATCTGCCAATTGCCTGATTTATGCAGTTCTACTAAACTAATGTAAACTTATGCCACAACACCACCTGCAAAGAGGCCACCTGAGTTTTATACAACCGATGACACACAATGAAATGATCATTTGGCTCATCTTATCAAGTTTTTGATAAAGGGATAACTTTTAAAAATATCTTTTCAAGTTTTTGATAACTCATGATAACGTTGTCCTTCATCTTGTTTTGGTAGAATCATTCGTCTTGAGGAGGGCCAGTCGGTACTATTCAAAGAGGACAGAACTAACATTGTAAAATTGCCAGGCCCAATTTACTGCCAACTTCATGCTTGTCCCAAGGTTGGTGTTTTAATTTGACTGTAGGCTACATTTCAGCCAAAGCGCGTTCTAGAATATATATGACAGTTTAACCACAAACCCCCCCCAAAGTCTCCAATTTAATAATTTAAGTGCAAACATTATGTATTTCTATTTGAGTACACCATAGCAACTTCAAAGGATGTTTACTAACATGGTAAAACTTTTGAATGCTGTTTTCATTGGTAATTTTCCTATCTTTCTTTTCCAGGAGTTTGAACAGCCAGTTCAAACAACTGAAGGACTAAAACTACGAAAGTTCTCTTTCTAAACATTTGAAGAGCATCCCTATTAATAATAATATATTTAAAAAATAGACCATCTAAACACATGTGTAAAATCAACATAAAAATAAATAAAATAATTTTGAAAATGTCCATCTCAGCTGAATTAAGATTACATTATTTCTCAAAGCAGTGCACAGTGAGACAAAGCACAGAAAAATGCAGCAGGAACTACCCTGTACACCTGAATTACATAGTGATAACAAATAACAGGAGACTAGAGGGACATTGCACAACTTTAAAGTCATCGCTGGCAACATACGGAAAAATGTTCCATTGCATTTTTCTTCATCTACAAGCTATGAACAAAAGCCATGTTACTGTTATTTCGTTTTGTTTATTTGTGCTCTTACAAAAAATAAAAGAGGTGGAAAGAAAAAAGTCAAGCATGTAAAGGTAAGAAAAACATAACATCATAAAATCTTCTTTCAAGTACATTTCATGGGCCTTATGCAAATAGTTAAGAGAACATTTATCCTTCTTTCAACTCCCCTCATCCACAAAAAAAAGTATTTTAAAAAACTAAGTGGAAGAAATATATATTTCCACCCAGAAAAGAAAATGAAGAGAAACGGATATCTGAATTCAGAGGTAAGTAGCACTAAGGGATAGGCCATCACTTGAGCATTTAAATTGTACTAATTCCTCACCAAAGCAAACAAAGAATGAAACTTGGACAGCCATCAAAACGGGAAAAAAAGGAAAAGAATGGTACTGAGGTCACATTGCAAAATAACTGTATCTACACATCAAGTTGCAGGTGTAAGCACAGCAAGGAGTAAAGACTACACAGCAAGGCAAGTCTTCCTCACATTAGCATCCCTTTTTGATGTTACTTCTGATAGTGTTTTCAATCTTTGAACATCTCTTAGTATCAAGGAGGCTTCAACTGGACATTTAGCTATGTTTTCACACTATTATTATTATGCTAAAATTTAGACTGAATAACAGTATTTTCCAAAGACATGAACAAAAACAAATGCATTTAGAACTAATTCCATAATATTGCTCAACACTAACAAAGCATTGATCCTAATGCAGTCCGGCACCGATAGCTCAAACATATTGGGAGTTGACTAATGTGTTCAACACATCTGTAATTCGAGTAAACTGCTATAGTGAACAATAAGAGAAATATTGATGAAAAGCAAGGTGACGGTATAATGGTCAGAAAAAACCCCCACTGCCATCATGAAAAGTACCTGTACCTAGTATCAATAAAGGAATAGATGGAGGATAGTGCCCGCACCTTGAAGCAAAGAAAGGAAGAGGGTGATGCTGACGAGCTTTAAGACTTGAAAAAAAAAATGCTGTTATGTCATATTGCCATCATGATGACGTAACCAGCCACCTCTCTTGTATGATTGTTTCCCGATCCATACTTCCATGTCAGAAAACACACACATGTACGCATGGATATATATTTATATATGATAAAGGTGGGTGGTTGGTGGGTGCTCTGGTGTTGTTTGCTCCTTCTTTCCTATCACCATCAGAACACATGTACGCATCGATGCACGCGTACACACACACATACACACAGACACACACACAAGTACACAAACACAATTCACTCACTATCTGGTCTAATACACACTGTCTTTCTTTGATCACACCCCACAACCTTGCACCCAACCTCACGTAACTGGGATAACAAGATTCAAGAAAGTTCTACTAGTCCTCTTGTCTTACACACACGTCAGGTGCAATGATACGCCTTCATATCAGCACTGTATGTGTCATGTTGTGTGGGGGCAAGCCTGATGGGTTCATATAACCTTGTACTCTCACTGGTGATGGATGCCTTTTCTTCCTTTAAGCGAACAAGGTGATTTGAATTCTACACTATAAGTTCAACACATCCACTTGAATCAAGAAAACAGTGCTGCCAAAACAAAGAAAATATTGCGGTTCAAGGAAAGGCATATTGTTCAAGTTGTCAGTGTTTGAGTTACTTGTGCTCAACTATATATAAACGTTTTGAAAGAAAACACCAGGTTTTTCTTTTTCATCTACAACATTCAATGATAACATTGACACCAAACTATGTTTTAATTTATTGCATGCTTTCACGGAGGAGCCTGTTTTTCTTTTTCTGTTTGTGTCATAGGCCTCACTGTAGTACTATACCAATATCTAGCACAACCTATCAGTTCCCTTACGCGAATGCCACACTTGTTCTTGGTCTCAGTGTTTCCCATTCTAAACATTTATTCTCAGCTAATTCACTACTAACTAAAAATCTGAATCTACATCATAGTTGCAACCTTTGATGTCTGTGGTAAAATTGTCCCTATTATCATGAAAAATGTCAAAACAGAGCCGTTTGTTTCGAATTCGAAACAAACCCCAACTTCTTGACAGCAGTGACAGAAGGAAAACATTACAAAGTGGTTGACGTGAGTTTCCAAAATCATCTGCTACACAAAAGCTATTTCCATTAAAAAAGATCTGAAATGAAGTTTCCATAAGTAGAAAGTAAATGATATTTGCCGTGGCATTTCCCGCAATTTATGAGGTGAACTAGAAGTGCTTTCCCATTTTTAATAATGATCCCGCAAGGGGTGCAGGACAGGACATATGCGCTCGGCCTGGATTCCGGCAAGAGGTGCGGAAAGAGACAAGTAAGTTAATTCCAGAGTAATGGGCAATTCAGTTAAAATGATTCTGAGCACTCAAAGTTAAAGTAATCAGTGCTGTGCAGATAGAACAAGCATAGGAAAAAAAATATGAGAACTTTGTGCATCATGTAACCTTTCATCTATGTAATTATCTGGTCCTCTGTGCTTTCCACACGGCAGTTAACAAGCAGGGCTCCCCAAAGCATTTGTCTGTCTGTCACTTTCTGCCAAAAAATTCATCAGATGGCTGTGGCCAACGACTGGTGTATGGGTGGGGGGAAACAGCGAACGTGCTCCGTGGGCATGGCCTCACTGTCTGTGCTGCGCAAGTACTTGTTCAGCACTGAGAAGATCTGGTTGTTCAGGATCTGAAACTTGCGAATTCTCTCCACCATTTTCTTCAGTTGCTGTAAGAAATAATGACATGCCTTTCATCAACATTATATTCAAAATTTTGATTGTAGCAAGTTTTCAAAAGAGAGCACACAAGATGAACAGATATAAGCAGTCATTGTACAGGCAATAAGAGGAGCGCTAATTTAACTACTTATAGCCCAAATAAGGTCACCAATTCCCAATTGGGCAGGCGGTCAACACACATGTGACGCCCAAGACATTTCATTGTCAGTGTGTATTTGTTTTTTATTTGTATGAGCTGTAAGTTTGTTCAATAGGAAATATGTGTGTCTGTGGAGTGGGGGGGTGTAGAGGTTTGTAACTGAGTGGGGTTAGACTAGTCTGTAGAAACTGAGATCATTACAAATGCATGGTAGCACCAGAAAACCCTTCATGTGGGGCAAAATATGCATATAGAGACATGCACACATTATTCTGATTTAGGACTCCTCTTTGAGTAAATTTGAACTTTATATATGATAAAGGTGGGTGGTTGGTGGGTGCTCTGGTGTTGTTTGCTCATTCTTTCCTATCACACAGATATCACCCTTATCTCTCCTTCTTTTTTTGGTTTGTTACTCTCTTGTAACACCTCTAATCTTCAGCACTTATATGACCTTATTGAGTTGCAAATGCCGTAAAATTCTTACTTAAAACTGATACCTTGATTGATTAATAAGTTATGACCATTTGAATAATGTTTGTAAAGTAGGGATAACATACAATTGAGAAAATGGCGTTCAAGGTCAAAGAGGGCCAGTTTTAGATTTTGGAAAGGATCGAGAAATCATAAACTATCCTGATTATACACTGACTTTACTGGGGGTTTTAATCCAAAACGGTACAAACGATGCATAAGTATAATTATCCGCCATTACTCGGATTTCTCCCAGCTGGCTCCTTATTGACTTTAATCTCACCTCAGAAACACCCCCGGTGAGGGCGCTCTATTAGCTCAGTAGGTGCCATGCTGGACTATGAAGCAGATGGCATTGGTTCAAATGACAGACTTGAGCATTATAGAACTCGGGTCATTTTGTGGAGTTTTCAAGTATATATTGCGCTGTCGTATCACCACCCATTTTGTATAGAGCTGAGTCCTGGACAATGCGCAAAATACATGCCAACAAGCTTAACTCACTTCAGACGGTTCATACAACAGTTGCGTGACCCCTGCCGCGACGCTCGCGACGGTTCCCACAAGCCCCGCGTGACAAACTTTGGAATATTTTTTTCCGCTCTACAAATCACACATGGATCGCGTGACCCGCCTCGTACCCTTGTTTGGCCAGGCCTGAGCTACTTAGACTTCATTTCGTATCTCTGGGGCCCGAAGTTTTTAAGTTATTGAAGGTGAAGGACAGTGACCCCAACTGGGGTTGAACCAAGGGTTGAACTGACCGGAACTCGCGCTTTGTTTTTTTCTATACAGCTGATAGTAATCCGACAGTCGCGTCGTAGTAACGGTCGAAGAAGTAGCATGAACAAGAATCACATAATTTCGCCGTTTTCGATACTTCTGTACGTTTTACTAGTTCTAGTGTCTCAGAATATGATGTGTCTGACAGTTAGGATCCTGGATATGTACCCGAACACGGCCCGAGTCGTAGTTCTAGGGCTGGATCTAGCACTAGTAGCCTACTGGTGTTGTTGTTCGCGCAACGAAATCAAAATGTCGTGCCGTACATCTGTCTCATGTAATTCAGTGTATGGGTCTGAATCAACGCACAGACCAGCTTTTATATTTTCACCAAACACTCACACATGCATACAAATCAAAATAGAACACTTTGAACTTTTATTTTTGTTGTTGTTGTGAATTTCATTCTATCTGTCATGTCTCTGGATATTTTTCGGAAAATCAAATTCATGCCAGTTTTTAAAAAATCATGCAAATTGAAGTATTAGACTTAGACAACTTTAGTTTTTTGTGTTAGATTAAGCTTGAATGTTACTTTACTGTGTAAAAAAAAAAATTACAATAGGGTAATTCTGAGAGTTGTGGTGATTTATTGAAATACTCCCAAAAACGCCAGTCTTTTACGTTTGTGACTGGTGAAAGGGCCCAGTAGTCTGAAAAGAACACTGGAGATTCACTAGAGGGATAAGATCCCACATACTGAAGTCCTTGAGAGGGCGCAAGACCCCAGTATCTTCTGTTACCGGAAAAAAATCCAGCTCAGATGAGCGGGACACTTGATTTGAAAGCCAAACACACGGCTCCCCAAAGCTATTCCCCCCCCCCATACCACATACAAACACCAATATACTTGAATAAGCAGCTCCCATCACAAACACATAACATCCTAATATGTATGAACATTTGCTGAAACTGTTTAGCTTACCAGAGGCTAAATAACCTCAATTGGTATAACGCAGGACTACAAAGTAGATAGCTCTGGTTTGAATGACCTTGAATTTATTTTTTCTTATTTGAGGGATTAAGGCTCACTGACCGTTTTTCTTGGTCCTATAGGAGATGGCCCACAGATTTGGAGGTCGTGCATCTTAAATAACTTTAAGTGTTGATAGGGGCATAACGTAAAGATTTTGCAAATAGCTCTCCAGATTTATTGGGTTTTTAGGGGGGGGTTTTAGTACGAGTTTTACGGCTCTCGCAACTGCATAAGGTCATATGAGAGCGCGAAAAAAAGTTGATTCCATTCGTAACAGTTCACTGCACAGCCTGACCCTGGTCAACATCTCTACCAAAACGCTAAAATGCTACAAATTTTGATGTAAATAAATAAATTCTCAATTTAAAATAACTTTTTAAATATCATTAAAAGTTCCAATGCTTCTCACAACTTTCCATAAAGGCAGATAGCCTTTATAAAATCAAGGATTCCGCTGGGATCAACGACGGAAAACAGATCTTGCAAGTTTTTTAATCTAAAATATTTCCTTCAGGTCTCTCCGAAGTCAAGACACTCTGCTAAAATGTGTTTAATGGTAGGTACCCTAAACTAAATTTTCAAAATAGCTGTATGCCAAATTTATCTGTTCCATTTGAAAGGCCTACATCAACTGAGCATGTTGGTACCATTCTTTAACCTCTCAGTCAATTTTTAAGAAAATAGTAGTTGTTTAAAATTTGATCAAATTTGTTAAAGTGAGTCACTGGCTGCAAACCCATGTTTGACAGACAATAAAAGAGTACCAAGTGCACTAAACATCTCCACATTAACAGAGTACAATCACTATAACAAATATATGGACCCTAATTTTTTTCAAGACTGTGAGATCATTACAAATCAGTATTTCATCGCCTCAAACACGATGATCTGTCGTTATTTCGACAAAAACACCGAGCGTTGACCCGGCCGGCGGCGCACCGGCCCCCGCGGCAAGCGAGTCGGCTCTATACTGTAGTGTACCCCACATGCGGGGTCACATGCTTTCCGAGTCTCGCGGAAGGATTGATGAAAAATAATTCCAAGCTGATTACTTTATACTAATAGGAAATAAACTGATCTTTTAATTGATACTTTTTTTAAGCCGGTATTTTACATATTTTGTGTAAAAAGTGATCTTTAAACATTTTGACAGCATTTTTAAAAGCTTTCTATTTAAATGCCAAAGGCCGAATATATACCACGGGAAAGCCCGTTTAAATCTCTACAGTTCTCCGCCAATGAAAAGACGGTATTTAATCATCCCTCGTTCCGCGAAGCATTTGAATGCACGCGTGTCAATTTTTGAACCGGCCAACCACGCATTTCGACCGCGAGGGGCTTCGCTTTCGTCAGTGATTGTCCAGTACCTAATAATCGGACGTATAAACAACTTACACCATTGTAACGAGGAAAAGCTGAACTTTTACAAGGTGTACCATCATTTGGTGTTTTATAGCGAAAGACCAAAGAAACAGCGATCGGAATTACCCTGATTTCACCGATACCACGCAGTCGGATGGCCGAGAGTGCCCGCGAGGCCGTGTTTACGCTACCTACTAATGGTAAAATCTGTGTCCCATCCGACACAGAACTGTCGCATCCGACACAGAACGGCTACTCATCTCCCTGAAGGAGGTATTTATGTGTCAGGGACGTGTGTTTGATGTGTAATCTAGCAAAAATGACTTCATCTCTTCTAGAGAGGCCCGAAGGTTTTTGCGGACCCAGTTTGGGCTTAATGTAATGTAGTTTATTGTTTTCTTATTTATTCCAATGAGTCTCCTAGAGACTGGAGGTGTAGTTTTCGACTTTATTTTTAAAGTCAATCTGTGGGAGAGTGTTCGTCATTGATCCCAACAGAAGGGACAAGGATTCTTTCGCCAGGAGGTCCACTTGCTCGTTTCCTCGGATGCCCACATGGCTAGGCAGCCATGCGAACACAATATTGGGTTTGTTAAAAATTTCCTACCATTAATTTATCTGTACTTGAGGTCTACATGGCGCGGACGATTTTGAATTTTTAAATATCTATGTCGAGCCACCAATAGTAATGTAATGACCAATGAAGATAATTTCCTTAGCAACCAGCAGCGTGCCACTTGTACCTTCACAATACGGTCTTCAGTAAATGAAATTAATGTTGTGGTGATGCTGACTATGACATAACAGTTTGGCTAGCAACTCCTGTCCACTGTAACCAAGCTACAAGGAAACATTGGATCAAAAGACAGAAGCCCACAAACACCTGGGTATATAACACCACCAACAATCCACTCCCACAAATGAACATCAAAGAGGAAGAGACAGACAAACCATCCCCTGCAATTATCAGAAAAACTTACAATGCCTTTGATGTTCTCATCTTTCATGTCCACACGGTTGACCTTGTGTAGATGATAGCAGAAGTCAAGAGCCTCGAAGCGACGTTGCTGTCCAAGCAACATGATGAGCGTACAACCAGCCCAGTTGAGTCCCTCTCCATACAGCTCCCTATAGTAATGAACAATACAATTGGCAAAAAATCTATAGCATGCTAATTTTTCCATTTGCATACCTTCTATAAATTCCTTCACATATTAAAAAAAAGACTGCACAAGCTGTGCATGTACAAACAACCAAAGCACACAATATATGAAGAGTTTTGCACCACCATTTTTCTGGTTTTAAGAAAAAAGAACATTTCAGTACCTTTTCCCATTTACTAAATAAACTTGACCAAATGTGTTTTAAAATAAACATATGTAACGCTTAGTTGACATTTATTGTATGATGAAATCTATGCTGGATTCTTATCCTTTAAATTGATACATACATTTTTGACAAAACACAACTTATCCACATGACAATAATAAGTAAAGGAAGGAAACATTGACAAACTTTCGTCAAGTAGATGCCAAGTTAAGAGGTGAAGGATAGAGGAGAGAACTTGATTGGGGCACAGAGAATATGTCGCAATTTGTCAAGAAAGGTCTGCTGCTTTTGTATCGTTTTGTAAAAAAAACGGGCCTTCTTTCTTTGTCAATTGCTTTTCAAAGTTATTTTTCTCGTCCTACCCAAGACTCCAGTTCTTGCCAAATACCATAAGTTTTCTGTTTCTGATCTTGTCCAGCAGTTTAAGGAACGTGAACGCCCGAGCGAGAATTCCCACTGCGTTGCCCCTTAGATTTTTTATCACGTTCATGATGGGTCGCGTTTTGGGTGGATCCCAAAAAGGTTACGACTAGAACTTGAGGTCTCAGTTGCACCGTCACAAGTGTCAGACACGAGGGGCACGCTAGCTATTCCGGAGAGGAATAAACGGACAGTCTGTCCACAGCAGCATTTTTCAATCACGGATTAATGATAACCTGCAAAGTCTTTTGATGCTGATTTCTTTTGCACTTGATTTGGCTATCGCATAAGTATAAGTGTAATCACGGGGAGTTTTGTTATTTTTTACCTTTAACATTAGCCAGAGAGTCACTAAACAATAGAAATGTGGTCTTTTATGTGGTGAGAGCACATGGGTGAGTAAAATTAGGAAAAAATGGATCGGTTGTACATGATCATTTCTTGTTAGAATTTAAAAAACCCATATTTTATTGAAACTTTGTGCTACGCGTTGCTCAAGCAGTATGCCTAGATTTAACACCACTGACTGCCGCAAGGCGCTCGTATCAGCCTTCTGGAATTATTGGAATTATTTTTGTCTTTGAGAAGCTATCTATCTCCACTTTAAAACCGACTGCGGCTTTGTATCTGTTCATAGAGCTTCCACCGCAATGCAGGGTTGACTGACTTAGTCCATTACGGATAAAAAATTATCGCATATAACTTCACCAAATTTTTATCAAAACAAAACAAAAGGATTGACTGTTGGCTTGCCGCTTCCCGTAGCTAGTTTAGTGACAGAAAAATAACGAAGATATAAATCGATAAAACAAACGAGATTCCGCCACTGGGCTTACTTTTTTGTTTTAGTAGAGGTTTTATGGCGCTCACAACTGCATAAGGTCATGTGAGCGCTAGAAGATTGGAGGTGTTACAAGAGAGTAACAAACATAAAAAAGAAGAAGGCGAGATAAGGACGACAGATTTTTAATACGAAAGAAGAAGCAAACCACATCAGAGCACCCGCCAACCACCCACAAGCCACTGGGCTGGCAGCGCATCCCGTAAATAGGCCTACATGGAAATAGGCTCAAGTGAGTTAAAAGCAAGTACTTAATAAACATATTAAAGACAACACAGACTGTCTACAGGAAAACACTTCACTCTTAAAACTTTACATTTTGTAGGTCTTTACAGTATTGAATACCAGCTTCAGTGGAGAAATGCTTCTGCTCTTTTTGCTTGCAAGCAAAGGACAAAAATTTGTCGCTCACAAGTGAAACAAATTAACAAGTAATCCACCAATACCTCATAAAACTGTCAAAAAAAACTTTTCAACAGCTAGCATTGAGTGTTGAGGGCATTACTCGTTAACATAACAGACTCACTCAATAGTATATTCATGTTCCCCCACAGGAATGCAGTAGAAAAACTGGATAGCCGACCACAAGCGGTGGAACTCTGTACAGGTGTCCACGTTCATGACACCATTGGCTGGAGCAGGACCGTGCCACACTGGACTAGTCAGGAAGGACTCAATGCGCTTCAGAACAATTTCAAAGATAGACAGACCACAGCACAGTCGCTCTCGGGTCAACAGGTCGCCATCGCTGGCAATGTGAGCTTGCTGAAATGGAAAACACAAACAGTTGCGCATGTTTATTATCACCACACAAAAAATGGTGTACAAGGATACTATCATTATATTAACAGATGTACAACAATACCCCCCCCCCCCAGCATATAAACAGTTGTATAAGGACACCGTCGGCATATAAACAGTTGCATAAGGACACCATCACATTATAAATGGATGTACAAGGATACTCCCTATCATAAAAACAATTGTACAAGAAACCATCATCCTATAAACAGATGTATAAGGAAACCCTCCCCCCATTCCAAAATGAAATAAACAGTTGCACAAGGATACCATCATAACAAAATTAGCTGTACAAAGATACCACTAGCTACTCAAAACTGTACTTTGTGTGGCACTGGCAAGCCACAGGAAAAGACGCTAAAGTTACAAGGTTTGTATTCACAGCATGGAAAAAACTTGTACTAGTGACATATATTATAGATGTTAACTTGTGCTTGCTTTTGTGTGAAGAAAAAATTGTGTGATGGTAGTTTTGCTGCTGCCACAACCGATGAACGGAGGGGGTAACTTTCTTTCATCATTTAGCACACCATGTCAATTCTTGGTATTGAGCCATAAATACTTCCATTCTCTTCAGCAGTGAATGAGCTTTCCAATGACATTGAGGAATTATATATAGATTTTTAAAAGGAAAAAACCAATATAATCAATATAAAACTAGCGCAAAGCAACAAAATTAACATTATGAAAGTAGGGGGTTTTATGAAATCCATGGCACACCTTCAGCAGAGAAAAACCAAACATGCATGGTTTCATTGAACACGCTGACTAGTGCCTTATTATTGTCGGATTTTCCCGAAAACTTGCATAGTGTGTTCCAAAGAAATTGTCCAAAGGCTGGCGAAATTTCATTACTCTATCATGATTCCTTCATATCCGGACGAAAGACTTATTGAACCCCCTTCGTACCATTGACGGCAGGTATTTGTTTACATCAGTTACATAAAAAATCCAAATTTACTTGCCCCTGACTTCTGGCTCGGCGGATGAATCTTTTTTAAGGGGATCCACTGGTCAGATCAGTAAAAATTTTGAAAAAATATCAATTTTCGGATTTTGGAGTACCTTAATAGATATCAATATCAAGGATCCATCTTTAGAAGCCTAATTCCTTTATCAAACTTATAAATAGCTGGAAAATGCATTTAAGAGAGGCAGCAATGTAGGAAAATCTTCACCAAAAATTATCTCTTTGCAGTTTTCTCAGAATTGTTTATCTGACCAGGTTGCAAAACTATTTTGAGTAGATCTCAGAAAGTTACTGTCAGAATTGTTTCAAATTTGGACACAATCTTTTATACACATTTCTCTATAACTTTACAGGAGCATTTTTGCTGTTTATGGAACACATTTGGAGTTTTAGGCCTGTTTTATTTGACAAAATCTGAAAACATTGGAGACCTGAATGTGGTGCATAGCAAGGACTGTAAGGCTCACAAGTCAGTACAGAAAATTCAAATTTGGCTCTGTAAGGTTGTTCTACCTACCAACAGTAATCGCCATGCCAAATATTAGGCTTCTATCTTGATGAGTGTTGATGATTGACAAAATATAAAATTGGTTTTAAAAATGCTGAAACAATCCTTTATTTTTGATGGCTTGAGATTATTATTGCTAAAATCTTGAATTTTTTGCTTGGTAACCTTTTTTTGTACTATGTCACCCCCTTTGATGCAGAAAAGCAAGCGTTAGACCAAAAACTATAGCATTTGGGTGTTGACCATAGCTACACCCCCTTAACCTTTCAAAGTGAATTGGGTTGGTGTGGTAAAGTTCGATTTACTCCTACAAAACTTAACAATTTTTAACTAAAAGGACATTTCTAGAGAGCTAAATGCTATCTATCAATATAACTTGCCCGGGAGCCTTTTCCACCGTCGATCAAAAAAAGTTTGTAAGATAATACAATTATTGGACCATAGCTTTTTACAGAAGCGTCGTACAAACTCTGGGTGGGTCGTAAACTGTTCAGCGTCAATTCTACTACAGAATCACAAGATTTCTGCGGACAATTACGATTAGCGATGGAAAATTCCACTCGAATATACACACTACTCTCTTTAGTTTTAGTTTTAGTAGAGGGTTTTACGGCGCTCGCAACTGCATAAAGTCATATGAGCACCAGAAGTCAAAATTAGCGAGCCACTCGTCGTGGCAGAACGCGTAACGATCATTGTAGTTTTAACTCAAAAATCTAAAATGTTATGTATTTTTTTCTCCATTGAAACTAACATGGAAAGAAAAAGCACATAGAGTAGCGACGGGGTTGTGCAACAGAGGGGCAGCGCGCCAACAGTGTGGTATAAACCAACTGAGACATGCTAGAGTGTTCCCGCGTTTATCAACATCCGACAGCACCCTCTCTTGTGCCACAAGATTCTTGACTGGCCGCTGTGGCTGTTTACTGCACGTACACAGAGGCAAATTACAGGCTCGCTGATTACGTATTCTAACAGTGCATCAACCTGCAGTTGTAAGGCTGTCAATGCACTTTATGAAGATGTGGATACTTCTACTACACACAAAGCAGTGTGTTGTGCGTGTAGCATCAGTGCTAAGCAAAGCATGGAGCCGCTCAGCCTCTCTGAGAGGATGGATGGGGGTAGGCGTGCAGTGCCGACATGGCTTCTGGTAAGGCGGGGTTTCGCGTCTCAGACCTCTGCAGTGAGAACGGCGTAATATTATATTGCCTCAAGGCCCACACCAGCCATCTGACACAGCCTCTGAAGATGTTTGCCGGCGTCCTGAAGAAGGCCTGGAAAACAGCAGCTCTGCTGGAAACAGCCAGGAGGGGATTCATCAAGTCAGGGCTGTTTCCCTACAACCCTGACGTTGTACTCACAAGTCACAAGCTGAACCCAGTTGCACCTTCACAGGGTCCCCTCTCCCTACCCTCCACTTGTCACCCACCTCGTCTGCCTCTGCCCTATCCACGACGTCACAAACTCGTCGTCATCCACTCAAGGAAATATTCTCCATGAACTTTAAGCTTTGGAAGGAGAAGGTGGACCTGTACCTCAAGAGGTACGACAATGAATACAAGATCGACCCAGACTACAACATGTGGTCCAGTCTGAGGGATAATATTGAACAACTGGCTCCTCCGCTCCCCCACCTACCAGCAAGAGCCTGGAACCTCAGACCCCCTCCAGGCAGACGACCATCGACAAGGTGTCAACATTGCCCTCATGTTCAAAGAACAAGGCCGTTAGAAGGCCTCAGCCACCTGTGCCAAGGTCCATCATAATTAGTGGAAATGATTAGAAAGAGATTATACTCACAAAGAAGAGGAATGCACAAGAACAACAACAGCAGAAGGAAGAGAGAAAGAAGCAAAGGGAGCAGAGAAAGATGGAACGGCTAGCACAAGCTGAAGACAAAAGGAACGCCAAAAAGAGAAGAAAAAACAAAGGGTGCGGGCAAAGAAGGAGAAGGAGGAGGAGAAAAAGAGGAGAATTCAGAAGAAGAAGATGAATGCTTTGGTTGTGGCCCCACAGAAGAAGAAAGAAGATGAAGATTCCTCCGACTCAGGAGAAGAGCTCCGACGATTGTGGGGACATTGCGGTCGACTTTGCTGGATGTGGAGCCACCACCCCAGGACAAGAAGTGCGCACCCAGTGCATGCTTTGTGACAAGTGGTGGCACGCCATCTGTGTCAAACAAATGGACAAGACTCAGGAAGACCTGGATGCCATGGACATCGAGCTCTTTGGCTGTGTTGACTAATCTCCCCATCCCAATTTGTTTCATACAAATAGTGTGAACAATATTTTGGTTTATCCATATGAAATTAGATCAAAAGGTATCTACTTTGCTGTTCTTATATAATTTAATTCATGATTTTCAGAGTTATCTAGACTCACTAATAGATTACTGTTTCAATTGTAAGTGTTGGCTTCAGTTATTTTCGATTATCCTTCTCTTTTGGCTATTCATAAAATTTGAGTGTCACTTGCAACTTAATTCTAGAGTAATTTGTAAGAATATTTCCTCCTTTTAGGTAAAAAAAAATCATACGTTGGCCTATAAGATTCATAATAAGAAGTTATTATGGCATGTTGCAAGACCCGCCCTATACTTGGGCGCAGCCCCTCCATAAAACGCGCCACCCTCAAGCAGGAACGCCCATCCCCGCTGATTGTCGCACACACCCACCCGTACTTTGCCTCACAAATACCACTGCAGAGGGAGAAGAGCAAACAAAGCAGACATAGCGCGCTGGGCCGACGATAGCAGACGGAATTTGCTTCTCATCAGTTATTGTGGGGTTACCTCCCATCTCACCGGGGACTAGCAAGGTCACTTTTTATGCTAAGGGTAGCGCAGACTACCGCCTCTACTCTAGACCTCTCGTTTCATGTTGATTTTATGATGTTATGAGCCGAGAAAGAGGAAAACCCGGGATTTTCGCATAAATCACCACTCGCCGGACGAGCGTGAAACCCCCTAATGAAAGCCAACAGGGTCTGACGGGAAAGTTATGCAACTTACTGCTTTGTTTCCAAGCTTTTTGATCACGGACACAACTTGCAGAGCTGCATACTTCTTCTCCAACTGCTTCATAACGCTTTTTGCCTCAGTCTCTCTGTCACGTCCCTCTGAAATACAACAAGAAAATAATCTGTCATGTGGTGCCATTCAACCACCACCCTCCTCCTTTATTTTCCACTTTGATGTAAACATATATATGATATAGTCTTTAAGTAGAAAATCAATGTGAAACAGCTACAAAAAAGAGGACCGGGTGTCTAAAAAAAGGACCCTTAAATGGTAATATCTCGGTTGTCTATGAACCAATTTCAACAAAACTTTGAAGAAATCAAATTCAACCATGAAGACATTATATTGGTAAGTACAAAAAAATCAATCAACATGTTTGAAAATCATCAAGTTTTTAAAACTTCAATCAAAATTGAGTGAAACGCAAAACTTGGCAACTTCTTTAAAATCAACCATATTGTGCCATTTCAAATAATCACTATCTGTGCAGTGAAGAACAAATTTATACAAAGTTAATATTGCCAAATGAACCCAGGAAGGTGATGGCTGTTCATATCTCCAGGTGTTGACCTTTTCTCTCCCGACACGGTCCATTATGCCACTGGAAATTTTGAATAACCCCATGGCATGCTTCTAGGTCAGTTCTTTGGACATCATGTTCAACATTGAGTTTAAACTGTTCAATTGCTTGTTGGTTGTTTCCATTGACTTTGCCCATCAAATAACCCAGAGATGATAATTGAAAGGGCTCAGGTTAGAGAGAAGGTGGTGTCCTTTCATTTGCAAACTTTTGGCTTATTAGCGGTTCTCTAAACCTTTCTTACACCCATACCAGGGCCACTCTTGACATAAGGGGAGTGGCCCCATGCCATCGGAGCCACGTCTCTACAGCATAACACCCCCTCCCCAAACTTCAACAAAAATTTCTCAGCACAGTGACTGTCGGGGTTTTACTGTTCTTGTCCTGGAGCCAGAACATGCTGATCACACCTCTGTTGGTGAACACTTACCCAATTTTGGTTGAATTCTAAAAAATAACTTGATATTTCTTGAACGATTTGATCGATTTTTCTTCATATTTCAAGACTTGATGTCTTCATGGTTTAATTTTGTTCGAAGTTTTGTTGAAATTGGTGCAGCAAAGACTGAGTTATTGCCATTTAGGTTGGTCCTCTTTTTTCAGACACCCTGTATGTCATGTGCTCAGTTGATATCAGGCTGGGCTACGGAGTGGTTGACTCCGCTTCTAATTCTTTATGTTGTTTTTTCAACATAAGTTATAAAACATTTCCCCAGCTCAGCTATCTGCCCTGCTAACACACGGCAGGACTTCAATGGTATCATGTCACAAGCCAGCACAGCATTGGTCTGCGTCGATGAAAAAATATCTACTCTAAGGTACCGAATAGGGGGAGGGGTTGGAATTTTTAAAAAGAAGGGGGGTGTAGCACATTCAACCTCATTCCCCTGTACTAGTAGGAACAAATATTTGCGAATAAAAGAACAAGAGATCATTAAATTTGAGTGATTTTTGTAAGTTACTGTGACAACTTTTCCCCATTTAGGAACTAACCGGTTTCATTAAAAAATATAAAGTTTTTAAAAAGCACAGAAAATTATGGTAGCCAACCCGGTACCAGTACTAACACTAAGGGTAATTTGCCATTTACAAAAAAAAGAAGTTTCATTCAGATATATAGATTCTAGATATAATGTTTCACATGATCGTCGGTCGTGGCAAGCTGGAAAATAATAAACGGGGGATAGGGAATAAGGAGCAGGGGGTGTGCAAAAAAATACAACAAGGTGTTCATGACCTCTATTAAATACATGCAGCACCGACTACCCAACATTAAGGGAACTTGTTTACCAATCACTAGATGAAGTAATGCGTCATCTCCCTTTGATCTGTCACTTAAACTTGAGCATAAGTTCTCACTAAATAAAAGCCCGATGGGCATTCGCCATCATCATCATCATCAATGCCTTTCACCCCTGGCAGGGTATAGGCCACCTACAAGCTCCTTCCATTTATCTCTGTCCTGGGCCATCCTTCCAAGCTCGTTCCAAGTGAGCTTCATCTCTCTCATGTCCCTTTCCACGCATCTCCTCCATGTTTCCTGTCACCTACCCCTGCCTCGTGCTCCTTGTGGGTTCTACTGCAGTGACTGTCTTGTGATGTTTCCACTGGGCTTTCTTAAGGTGTGTCCCCTCCATCGCCACTTTCTTAGTCCTATTTCTACTTCTATATCCTTTTGTCCTGTCTTTTCCCACAGTTCTTCATTTCTTATTCTATCCTGCCACTTAATTCTCAGAATACTCCTCATACATCTGTTGATGAAAGTCAGGACTTTATTCAGTACTGTCTTTGTTGTCTACCAAGTGTCGCAGCCATAGAGGAGCACAGACTTGACGTTGGAGTTAAAGAGTCGAATCTTGGAGCACAGTGAGATGTTACTTGCCTTGATCAGTCACCCAGATATTTTGCCATGGGCCTAGATGAAGAGGTTCCTTTAACGTTCTCCAGGCAACTTAAAAATGTAATTCCATTTTCTAAAATATAGACCAAGGCTAAAACATAATGACTTTGATGTTGCTTACCTCCTCTAGTAACAGTATTCCCAGTGTCCGAAACAGTCACATAACAACCTGTCTTTTGCACATTGTTGAAAACACTGCAACACATTTTAATACAGCAGCGTTTTCTTCCTCTACTTCTCTTCTTTCTTCAAGTCTTCGTAGGTTTCAACTCCCCTGTGTTTGATATCTTTGACTGAGCACACTTTGCCACAAGAACAGTTTTTGCCATGTTTACCCTACACTGAACTTCAATGCTTCTCAGCTCTTGGCAAGTATTCCCCACTCTGTTTACATTTTGGGCCAACACCAGCTGTGATGGGTGACCACATCTCAAAAAGAAAATGAGAAGTCCTAAAATCATAACTATTGTTTTTGCTAATGAATCAGCGGGCGATGGGTATGTCATAATTATTTTGGCATTACTGTATGCGCAACTTTTTCACAAATAAGAAGACATAAACATTTTCACAAACAGTTGCAGTAAAATCCAAAAACAGATGGAAAAACACCAGAGCAATTTGGAGCAGCCTGCTAAGCGCGTTCACACATTACACATATCTAAAAATAGTTTGAACAAAAATTTATAAATATTTGAGGCATCAAAAGCACAATCTCCAATTGATAGAAATAGAAAACAACGTACCTCGAGCAGGGATGTAAGGTTTGGGAATAACATTCTGGAAAGGAGCAGCATGTTTCAAGTCATAGACCTCTTCTTGTGTCTGAGGAAGAACATTTATTTTAACTTTTTCAGATATAAGATCACCATTGTTAGAGTCATAAAAGGAATGGAAAGACAACAAAAGCCTACAAACATGAGAGGTAATATTCTATCACATCAGAAGCCTTTAACTTATTCTCTGCCCATTTTTTTACCAGCTTTCACCGGTCTTCTCATTGCATCCGATCGTGATGTTATAGGTGTGTATGTTTGTGAAGGATTTTCATAAGTAGGCCTACATGTAAAATGAAATAATAAGTACACAGTGTATTACAGTAGTCTCCGCCTAAACGCACTGTGCTCGGGAGGGCTCCTTAGCGTGCGTTTATACGGAGCGTGCGTTTACATGAACCTTTGCAAGGGGAGGAAGGGACGCAGTCATCTCAATTCCTTATTACTCTAGTGATCTCCCTTGGAGGAGGGGGTCATTTTGGTAGATAATGTGACGACACGTAACTGTTTTGTGAAGGATTCCCTGACAGGGGTTAAGAATACAACGGTGTTGAATGGGGTGGAGGGGTGGAGGGGGGGGGGGGGAGAAAGACAAACTCAATGTAATGAATATGCACTATAAACTTCGGGAACAGAAAGCCTAAGACTACTAAGAGGAAACTGTTGGTGATAGTCATAGCGACGACGGACCAGCCACGTGGCTTTCCAAGCAACCACTCCCGACCGTAAATTCATGCAGAATCATCCTCGAGAAACATTTTCTCTTATGATTCGTTGAACAAGTACGTTATAAGTTCTTCAAGCGCAGTTTATTAGGCTTATTTGGTTAATCCTTAATCCTATAGAGGCCTGTCTAGTGTTTTACGGCATTTACGCATGTCGCGCATCAGGCCTAGATCTAACTAAACATTATGCGCAGTCACTCAAACACCAGTCAGAAACCTTCTATCAAAGATACATTTCCAGTGACCAATCAAAAAACATTTCAGTCCCCCCCCCCCCCCCCCACACACACACACATTTAACCGACCGACCAGCCCTAGACCGAGACCTGTGCGTCAGTGGAAAGTAGGGTGTGTAAACGCTGTCCATCACTCTCTTTGTATGGCGTGAGGGGTACTCTCACCAAATATCCGCTTTCTAGTAAATTCTAGGCTTGTCTTATGCAGGCTGTGCAGGTAGTAGTGGAAATTTCCCCTTGCCAAGCTTAACTTGTCGGCGTGTTTCGCGGATCGGAGTGTGCGTTTAGAGGGAGTGACCGTGCATTTGTACGTCTAAAGTATATAGTAAAAAACCTGTCAAATGACAAAAAGCATGCGTTTGAGCGGAGCGCGCTTTTGTATGGCGTGCGTTTAGGCGGAGACTACTGTACATATTTTGAAAGGTAATAAAATATAGCATTGAAATGTATGAAAAAAATATTTGATTAGGCAAAGGATAGAATTGAATTGTATCAGAGAACGTCTCCATCACAGGAGACCTAATAATAAGACAGACTAAATTTCCTACTTTGAATATAAATAACGACATTTTTATTTCAAAAAAACATTCCTGCACTCATAAAATGAATGTTACATTCAATTCCCTGCATGTTCATGCAAAAGAGATGAAATTGTGCAATTCTAGCAGATTTTATTATCAATTTTGTAAAATCACTGAGACAATACCAATTTGCCAGAGTCGCACTTGCATGTCCAAGTCTAGATTTACTTAGATTTAGATTTAGACCTATGTCACTATCCTCTTGATTTTCACTTCTTTTGGCTTTCTTTCCCTTCCATTTCCTAGCACATCCACTCACTCCCTTATCTTCAGCTTTCCTCTTTGCTGTTACTGTAGATTTAGATGTACGAGTTATGTCTTTCTTACCACGCCTCTCACTCTCCATTCAATTATCACCCGAATCAGAATCTAAAGCTAAGGATTCTAGGTAATTATCATCTCTGTCCTCAAGTTTACTAAAGAAAAATTCCCTGGTGAGTTTTGCGATTTATATGCCTATAGGGTCATGCTACCAGGCCCAGAAACATAGCTAGAACTAGAAATGGGCGTGGTCATCTTTCACGTTTCGGTTTCACATAAAATACTCCAACAATTATAACTTACGTAGTTATAGACACTATATTTCGTTGCAGGAAGTTTTTACCTTAGAGATTTGTTAATATCAAAACTTAAAATTATAGATCAAGCATTTACAAACTAAATAAAGTTTGAGTATAGCCTGTGCCGATGTATCGGTAATGAGTGAAAATGGTGCAGTCGCGCAGCAAAAAAAAATAGGTAATAGGCAGAGAATGAGTTAAATGTGAAGGGCTCTAAAATCTTTTATAGAATAAAGAACAATAACCAAGCTCTTTTACAGTGTAGAGTGCCTAGTGGTAATCACAGGCCTATATTCAAAACTTGATAAATGTTACAGGAGATTCAAAACTACAATCTCTTATTATTTACTTTACTGTTGTTGAGATGTAAGGACTTTTCATAACTATTTGAGAGTCAATTTCAGGAATTTCGACCTCAAATTAGAAGTGTAAGAACATAAACACTATTGGTCGTAGAAACATGGCCTTTTCACCAACTGAAAGAACAAGAATGATGCTTTGTCTGGTCTAAGCATGGGTTACTGTAGAAATGATTTTGCCCTGGAAATTTCTAGACAAGGATTCCCTAATGTGTTGTTCTTCTGACTTTGATCCAGACCCACGACCGGATGGTCAGACCCAGTTTAAACGCCCACAAGTACCTCGCTCTCCCCCCCGTTATCAGGCATCCTGCGATCAAGATTTCATGGACCTTGCCCATGCGAAGCTCATAACTAAGATAGCTGATATTGGGCAAAATGTGACGCAGTGTTCTGTCAATGCTAAGAAGACTTCTTGTGTTTATTGCATGTAAGTAAGACAGCTTGCTCCACCCACACCTTGTGCGGCACTTACGGGCCATAGTTCGGCCGAGTAAAATCAAAGGAGGGGTGGGACTTTTACTGGGCTGAGGATTTATGTCATTTGTTGCCACTCGTTTAATTTTAGGCATTTTTTGTCACCGTTTTGGGAGTAAAAATTAAGTTGTGTGACAACAGCTCATTTTTCTTTTTGCATCAAAGTTTTAATTTGAAGATTTTCAAGCACGAAAACACATAGCATAAACAGAATGAACACATAAACAAATGGCAGCTTTGTTCTTTCAAAAGCTGGCAGAAGAATTAAACTGCTGAGCTGATACTGCATAAATCCTCAAGAAGCCGTGGTAGAAAAACGACAGCATAAAAATGCAGGCTGAAACGCATTATTCCCCATATTACCATACTGTCTGAAAGCACTGAAATAAAATTCAAATGCATTTCAAACATTAATATTTTGGCATTTTTCTAAAGTATAATGGTTGAATTTCATTAACATCCAGAAAATATATGACTAGCATTAGTTCAAGTGGGGGGGAAAATCAGGTTTAACTCACTTCAGACGGGTCACACAACAGTTGCGTGACCCCCGCCATGACGCTCGCGTCGGGTCTCACAAGCCCTGCGTGACCAACTTTGGAATTTTTTTTTCGCTCTACAAATCATGCACGGATCGCGAGACCCGCCTCATACCCTTGTTTGGCCAAGCCTGAGCTACTTAGACTTCGTTTCGTATCTCTGGGGCCGGTAGTTTTTAAGTTATTGAAGGTGAAGGATAGTGACCCCAACTGGGGTTGAACAGACCGGAACTCGCGCTTTGTTTTTTTTCTATACAGCTCATAGTAATCCGACAGTCGCGTCGTAGTAACGGTCGAAGAAGTCGCAAGAACAAGAATCACATAATTTCGCCGTTTTCTATACTTCTGTGCGTTTTACTAATTCTAGTGTCTCAGAATATGATGTGTCTAATAGTTAGGATCCTGGATATGTACCCGAACACGGCCCGAGTCGTAGTTCTAGGGCTAGATCTAGCACTAGTACCGGTGTTGTTTTTCGCGCAACGAAATCACAACGTCGTGCCGTACATCTGTCTCATGTAATTCAGTGTATGGGTCTGAATCAATGCACAGACCAGCTTTTATATTTTCACCAAACACTTGCACATGTATACAAATCAAACCAGAACACTTTGAACTTTTATTTTTGTTGTTGCAGTGAATTTCATTCTACTTGTCACGTCTCTGGAAATTTTTCGAAAATCAAATTCATGCCAATTTTTAAAAAATCATACAAATTAAAGTATTAGACTTAGACAACTTTAGTTTTTTGTATTAGATTAAGCTTGAATGTTACTTTACTGTGTCAAAAAATGATTACAATAGGGTAATTCTGAGAGTTGTGGTGATTTATTGAAATACCCCCCAAAACGCCAGTCTTCAACGCTTGTGGCTGGTGAAAGGGCCCAGTCGCAAGTGAGTTAACTTTGTCAAAATCACCAAATCACAGAGATCTTTAAAATTTCAAAAGTAAATATTTTTGACATAGCATTACTGAGACTTGCAAACTTCCTCCAGAATTTAAGTCAAAGAAAAACCTTTAAAAAGTCAGTATTTCTTACACAGAGGTCTTAGAATTTTTTAACATTCTTACAAATGAAGTGCAAAGCATTTGTTTTCCACACAAAACTTTCTTTCTACACTCTGAGAACTGACCAGAGCCTGCTCCACTAAGAGGCAGAAGAGGACGGCGTTGCCAATCTCACGGAAGCTCTGGAACACTCCGGTTCTCAGATCTGTGTACTGGATCAAGTCAATCAGCTGGGCCTGGTAGTAGCCCATTACACCTGGGGAACAGTTGTTATGATGAAGGGGGGTTTGTTCCTGTAAGTGTTTTGGTACTTAAAACACAAATAAGTCAAATAGGAATCAAAGATTAGAGGTGTTAGTAGGTGTTAGAACAGGGTCAGCAACCTTTTCAGCCACATCAGAGCTCAAAGAAGGCCCACTTCACGAAGAAAAAGGATCATTTGAAAATAGCAGAGTATGAAATGACAGTAATAACTCTCATTTATGTATGCACCATGATTTTTTTAGAAATATGCCTTAGAAATTAACAAGTCATATTTGAAATTTTCATTACTTTAAAATGCAAAAAATATCCATTATGATCCATTCACTAGTCATTATTGTTAGCCACTACTACAAATGTGTAACTCGTTCACCAAGTGGTGACAATCCACTTGTTTGTTTTACCAAGACACTTAGTCTTTCTCGTCTGGCATATTTTGTTTAGTTTAAATCTTGCTCGCAAACTGTCTTCCCCATTGATTACACTTAATGAAATTTAACACTCACAGCATCCGTGAAACTTCATGCTTCTCTGCACAAACAGAAATGTTTTATACATCCTGCAACCAACTCTCAGAAAAGAATGTTTGAACAAAAAAACCCCAACAACAACCCCCCTCCCCCAAAACAGCAACAACCAAACCCCCTACAAAAGAAAACATAACATTTTAATGGGCCTTTCAGCAGTCCTCAGTCGAAAACCACCTACTGTTGGGATCTCAGAGGAGATTGGTTTGCTTTCTTCCTTTTCATCAGTCCTGACTATGACAACCACTTTACTCCTTAACGATGGGTGGCCATCTAAGACAATTTTGACTTTATTTGTGGCTTGTTTGATTGTAAATGTTTCATTCCCCCTAAACACAATTTGAGCATGTCCACAAAAGGTTACTTCAATCCTGCCCATGAGGGTTACCCCCCGGCTGAGTGGGATGAAGCATCCTATGAAATAAATGGAGAAACTCGATAAAATAACTTCCCATACAAGAACTGAACTCACATCTTCGGTGTTAAACAGCCAAGAACCAAACCATGACACCACAGAAGCTGGTACCTAAAGTACAGTTTCCGTTTCAGTTAGTTTAGTTTTAGTAGAGGTTTTATGGCACTCGCAATTGTGCAAGGTCATATGAGCGCCAGAAGATTAGAGGTGTTACAAGAGAGTAACAAACATAAAAAAGAAGAAGGGGAGATAAGGACGATAGATGTTTCATAGGAAAGAAGAAGCAAACCACACCAGAGCACCCGCCAACCACCCACGTTTCCGTTCCAAGTTCATATATCAAATACAGACTACACACAACAGATTGCCATCAAACCTGTCAAAGATGACCACCAATTGTCAAGGGAACAAGTGGTCATCTTAGACAAGTGGTCTCTTGGACAGCTTCATTATAATATAGAAAAAACACCGGGAGGAAGTGGGTAGTGGTCGTTTGTACAGGCAATGTCTTGGACAGATGGTCCTTAGAGCAGATTTGACTGTATTTTCATGATCTGTAAACATATTATTAGCATATGGACTGAACACGTTTGCAATTTGATGAAAAACGCTAGAAATTTTAACTTTAAATCTCTGAGACACATTTGAACGTACAAGGGACAGACAGCCTCCTTAACCTAAGCTGGATTCTCTTTCTGGCAATAACATAACATGTACACACCCAAGATCCCACATACCAGAGAGGACACAAGACAGGAACGTGCTGGAACCCAACCTTCCCATTCACATAAAGAAGAGAAAGTAACCGAAACACATTTTTGGGGTTGCCACAGTATAAAAAGTAACTGAATCATTTTACTTCGAGTACTATGGCACATGCAACACAAATAGTAAGTGAATCAGCAAACCCCTCCCACAGCTAACAGATGATACAAAACACAAAATATAAACTGTTAATGTTCTCACCTGGTGACCCATAGTCAAAGCGTAAAAGTTTACACTGCTCTGGCATCACCTTCATCAGTGTGGTCACATAGTCAGCAGTGGTGCCTTTCACCTGCATGGAAAACATCATCATAATGGCTTGATAGCTCTTTGCATATTACAATTTACAATGATAGTGTATTTTGTTCCAACTCATATATATTTTAAAGTAATAGGCAAATCGATACAGTAAACAGTAGTCCTGAACACTTTCAAACAAGTTCCCAATATTATTATAAAAAGACTACTACCCTTAACGCATTTCATACGGTGCACAGGGATTCACAAAGCTCCAAATTCATCCTTGGCTGCCTGCACATGGGGAATAACCATTCAAAGAGAATCTAAAAAAAACCAAACCCTCAACCTTTTTATTTTATCACAGTGGCTTCTCTAGCAAAAATAACTGGGGGAACAGGCTTAAAGACAATCTTATGTCAAGTCATACTGTTTTAATACTCATTTGAATGTAGGTCAGTTGGTTGAAATAGTTTGAACAATGGCAAAACAATTTGACATAGCTGAGAGGTGTTGAAATAGCTTAAAATGGATAGGGACGGCGAAGAGAAAGCTATTGAAAGTAGTGCTACTTCATAACTTCAAACGACTTTTATACAAGTGAATTAGAGGGAGATTCTCATGCAGATGATAGAGACAGGGATGAAAGTTGGACATAGTTTCCTCAGCTCTACAAAAGAATCAGGGGATCAAGGACTGGTGATGGGTCTCATTTAAATATTGAGAAATGCCTAAGCGTCTCAAACAGCTTCTCCCAATCCAGCAAACCGTACCTGCCCGTGGTGGTCCCTGTCCTCACTGACACGGCTCTGGCGAATGGCGAGTTGTTGGCGCCAACAAACCACCCCCCCCCCCCCGTTTCCTAGAGGGGTTAAAACAACAGGGTGGGAGCAGGTGTGGCCCCACAAGGTGCAGGAGACAGAACCCACCGATGCGTGGTGGACGCTATGCTCCTCCCTAACACGCCCCTACCTTCCCTTGAGTGGGTGTCTAATCTGCCTAACACCTCTACTACTTTTATCAACACACCCTCTGTGGTTGAGAAGGTACCAGCCAGTTTGAGAGTGTCTGGGTGCAGGAGATGGACCGAGCAGAATGCCTGACTTGCTTTCTGGCCATGAAACCTCTTAGTAAAGGCACAACGACCCAGGACGTGACGAACCAATGGCTTCCCCACTTGGCCAATACCTCATGAAAGAGTCGAAAACCTTAGCCAGTAGCCACTGGTGGCAGGGAATGGGCAACGTGAACCCTACCGGAATTACACGGTCACAGGGCAGTTAGGTCTTTCCAGTCTCATGAAAACTCCTAGTACCCTCCTATCCTCAACATGAATGGCCTCTTCTCAGGGTGGGCAGACAGTCCACAGACACCCCAGTCCACAATGCCATGACACAAAGAAATAAATTACATGCGAGCTTGGACGTCGCCTCGTTAAACAAGGTCCGCGCCAGGCAACGCAATCACCAGGCTGCTCTGAGCGACAAGTCAGCTACTGGTGATAAACACAGAAACAGTGCTAAACCAGCACCGAAAAGCTCTTGGCGTGAGAAGGGAGCAAACTACACCACCAAACAAGAAGAAAGAGTTCCCTCAACCTCTTGCAACTCAACATCTGTGGTTTGAGGAACAAGAAAACAGAACTCATCAAAGTACTTAAGGACAGACAGATTCATGTTGCCCTTCTTCAAAAAACCCTACACAAAGGTACGGACCTGAACCTCACAGGATACACCATTTATGCCTGCACATGCACAGGATGCCGCGGTGTAATCACTTACCTGCGAAATGATGTTCAGGGAGATGTCGTACACTTATCAACTGACCAACCGACAGATATCCAGAAGGCCACCATATGGCACATTGGTAGGAAGTACACACTTTACAATGTTTACAGCCCCCCCCCCAGACAACATGCGACTTGTCTGATCTGCAAGCAGCCAGCTACGAAAAAACCATTTGTGTGGGTGACTTCAATGGTCACTCTCCAGAATGGGGCTATGTCAACTATAACGGCACAGGCCGAAAGATTGAGGAGCTGTGTGAAACCAGCAACCTATCTGTATTGCAAGACGTCAACTCAACTCCTACTTTACTTCACAGAGCCCACTTGACTCTCAGCCGGCCTGATCTCACCATCTGCTCATCCGACATTAAAAACTCCTGTCGCATCGAAGTGATTTATGACATAGGAAGTGATCACAGGCCTATCTTTATACAGATCACCTCCCCACCTGCATTGAACCACCCTCGGAGAACTCGATGGAACTTTAAGAAAGCCAACTGGGCAGAATACGAAAAGACATCAGACGAATTGCTCTCCAGCATAGCAGAAACAGAAGATGCTGATCTTTTTAATGAACAAGTCACCGGAAATATTCTGAAAGCTGCATCTCAGCACATTCCACGGGGATGCCGAAGAAATTTCAAACCCTTTTGGAGTGAAGAAATCCAAACTGCTGTGGCTGAAAGAGAGAAAGCCAGACAGTCATTGGAAAAATCACCATCAACAATAAACAAAATACACTACAAGACTTGCGCTGAGGTGAAAGTGACAGTAAAAAAAGCCAAAAAAGAGAAATGGACTCAAACCTGCAAAGATCTCTACCTCCGCCACAATGGAACAAAGGCTTGGTCCCTTGTCAGCAACTTCTCGGGAGAAAGACAAAAAAGCAACCCCAAACCCTTTTTCCTTTCAGGCAGCACCATCACTGAAGACCAGAAGAAAGCCGAACATTTCAACCGTTTTTTCGCCTCTGTAAACAGGGCAGGCAGACTAACCGAGGCTGATAGACTTTCCATTAATAGGGCTAAGCATAAAGAAAAAGCTCCTACTGTGAACAACTCGCTTTTTGAAGAGGATTATAGCATGGTGGGACTCAGTCAGGCCCTCAAAAAGCTAAAGGAAAAGAAAGCCCCAGGACCACATAAAATACACAACGAAATGCTGTGCCACCTTGGTGATAAAGGAAAAGAAGTTCTTCTTTCCCTGATAAACACCACGTGGAGAACGAGTGGAATACCAAAGGTATGGAGGATCGCCCAGATTACACCACTCCTGAAAAATGGAAAACCACCTGGAGAAGTGAAAAGCTACCGACCCATCTCATTAACATCATGTATCGGTAAGCTTGCGGAAAGAATGATAAACAACTGCCTCTACTGGTACCTGGAAAATACTAACAGCTTAAACCCACACCAAGCAGGCTTCAGAAAAGGCAGCAACACAGAAGATCAACTTTTTAAACTGAGTCAAAACATCCAGGATGGATTTCAGGAGAGTAAACACACCGTCGCCATCTTTGTAGATCTCCAACAGGCGTACGACAGAGTGTGGAGAAAAGGCCTACTCATGAAATTGATGAACCTCGGGATACATGGCAAACTTTACAAATGGATCAAGTTCTTCCTGTTGGATCAAAACATTGAAACCAAGGTAAACAATGCCCACTCGTCAAGAGAAGTACTCGAGGAAGGCCTACCTCAAGGTTCCTGTCTGAGTTGCACTTTGTTCCTGATCTTCTTTAATGATGTAACGAACGTGCTGAAATCAGAAAAGACTCTTTATGCCGATGATCTTGCTCTCTGGCAGACACATCACAGCACGATAGTAGGAGCAGGGAAATTAAATGAAGACCTCAAGAGGCTTCATAATTACTGTCAGAAATGGAAACTTAAAATAAACTGCACGAAAACAGTATACACCATCTTCACGAAGAGCCATAAAGCAGCCAAAGAAAATCTCAAACTAAAGATAGGAAATGAAAGTCTCCCCAAAGAAGAACATCCAACTTACCTAGGAGTCAAACTTGACCATAAGCTAACCATGAAAAGCCAAGTGGAGAACATAAGGAACAAGGCAAAAAAAAGACTCCAACTTTTAAAGAAACTCGCAAGCAGTTCATGGGGATCAGACAAACAAACTCTGAGAGCTTTATACCTGGGTTATGTCCGATCTTCCCTGGAATACAGCAATAGCCTACTCACTATGTGCAGTACAACTACTTGCAACACCCTTGACAAGGTCCAAAACAATGCCCTTCGTTTTATAAATGGCGGCATGAGATCCACACCTACCGCCGCATGCGAAATCCTTGCAAATGTTGAACCCCTGGGAATCCGCAGAGATAAAGCAGTTTTGGAGCTACATGAAAGAACTAAAAGAATGTGCCCCAACCACCCAAACAAGAAATTAGTAGAAACATGGCAATCAAAGAAACGAATTCAACAAAAGTCAATCATGCATCACATCACAGAACTAATGGAGAGCCACCATCTACCACAAAACAGAAAAGAAACCAAAAGATTCAACCAAAACATCCCTCCCCACCTTTCTTTAAAAAAGCCAATCATTACAACATCTCTCAAAGACAAGAGCACAAAATCTTCAGACCCAGTGACGCTGATGCTTGCATCACATCAAACAATCGACAGCTATTCAGATGACTGGATACACGTCTATACGGACGGCTCAGCATTCAAAGGCACAACCAAAGCCGGATATGGAATACTACTACAGTACCCAGATGGAAGTTCCAATGAGATCTCTGCAGCCTGTGGAGAGAAATGCAGCAACTACGATGCAGAAATGATGGCAATTGAAACAGCACTGTACCATCTCCGCACAGTTTTTGACACTCATCCTGGAAAAGCACAGAGTATTGTGATTTTCACTGACTCACTATCAGTATTACAAGCCATAGAAAATGACCATCATCTAAACCAAGATTTGACCCATATACTGTTTGGATCCCATCATCTGATAACATTCTGTGGCATCAACCTAGTAATGCAGTGGGTCCCCGGACACTCAGACATACCTGGAAATGACAGAGCAGACACACTTGCCAAACGGGGATCTAGACAGGAACAACCCAACACTCCAACTTCATACAACACTGCAAAACAAACCATCAAAAGCAACAACAAACAAGATTGGATGAACAGATGGGCCCTGGGAAAGACAGGCAGAGCAGTTTTCAAACATATGACCACTACAAAAAGGAATGACAATATCAACCGCCTTCAGAGAAAGAAACAGACCACGATCTTCCGCCTACGAACAGAACATAATATATACAGCTCAACTTCCACCTGAACAGAATAAACCCGGAACTTCCCCCAATGTGTCCCTTGTGTGACTATGCATATGAGACTGTGGAGCATCACCTGTTCCACTGCACAGCCCTAAATGACATCAGAGCTACCCTTCTCTCTCCGAGACCTAACATAGACTCTATGGAACATTACAGCAACTGCAGCAGACCTGCACTTATCACTACATGGCATTGGACAGAAGGGCGAGAGCCCAGCTGTTGCTGGATCGATAACAACAACAACAACAACAACAAAAGAATCACTGAAGGCATATGGAGGACAGATCTAGACCTGTGAGAGGGCTAGGTGGTGGTCAACACTGGAGTGGTCATGTTCATGGTTGATGTAGACAAGCAATGCTAAAAATCAGGATCTCAGGGAAAAAGTCCCAAAAGACACTTCAATCAGTGTGCATGAATTTAAGTTGGCCCCATTAACAGAGGGTCCTTGACACATGCGTAACGTACACGCCAAAGTCATGTCAAGTGCCCAAATGAAGAATTTTTACTGCCAAGTCTTGATGAATGACACGCCCAACTAACCAGAAATCAGACAAAGCTAGTTTTGAAAGTAACAATATAACAATCGCTTGTCAGTCTATTCTGACGATGACCAATACATCCGCAGAGGAGAACATTTCTCCAGCGAAATAGAAAAGTTAGAAGAATTAAAGGTTAAGATTACTTGTAGCTTCTGTTGTGGCCAATGAAACCATTTCCGGAGGAGAAAAGTTTGCCACATTTTGAACATTTACAAGATCCACTTTCACTTATAATGGATGTATGCAGCTTGTGGGCTTCTCTCTTGATTCAGCATTTCTTATTCATGAAGCCTAATATGATTTGCTACCCATGGTGACTGCTGCTCTCCAGCTGGATCTGTCAGGCACTAGGCTTTCCCTTGTTGAAGTATTTATATTGAAGTCCTTCAGAGACATTAAAGGTGTCTTTGAAGCACTTTTTCGATGTGCCAACCTTGTATTTCCCTGAAAACGGTTCAGAATAGAATACAGTAGCCTCCGCTTAAGACCCCAGTGCTCTGGAGCAGGGAAAATGCAGGATCTTAGGCGAATGGGATCTTAGCCGGCAAACCCAGGGAAAAATCTAAGCTGACCAATGTTAAGGCCCATAACCGGTAAAACAGTCTCCCGTCACTCTAAAATGAATTGACGAGACCCCTGGGTGGGTTTATGACGTAATTATGGCAAGCAAAGAGTGGCGAACCTTGATGACCAATCAAAGTGAATTGCGGCATGCCATTTTTCGCGCATCATCCTAGTGTGAGTCTCAAGATCTATGCTTATCCTATTGCCCCTCCCCTTTAACAGTCCAAAATTCAAAGCTCTCCTTCTCTGACTGAGTTCCCCCTCCTTTGTTGTTACACACCATTACGTTGTGACCATACCATTTAAAATTCAGTCTGTCTCACAAATTCTGGAGAAGAGACAATTGTTGCAATGGTCAGGGAAGAGTTCACAGTTCAATGAATTCCCGCCTGGAGCGAAATTGTAGGTCCTACCCAGCCAGCATGTGATGTAAGTTAAAGTGGAGAGTTCAGACGCGAGTACAATGGATGGAGAAAACAAACGTGTCAGCGAGTTCACACCTTGGAGCAAACATTGTATCGTACAAGTTTTACGACACACGTGTGATCACATTCATTCATAAAAAAGCTGAGCCAGCCCAGTTTGTAACAGCAGAAATACGAATAAAATTGATCATTTGTATGCTGCAGTGGTAACTGTTATCAGGCCATCTTCGCAGAATTCTGAGTGGAAACAAAAGCAAAAGTAGATCTTGAGAGTATCCCAAGCTGGAATGCCAAATGGATACTACTTCAATTATAGGTGAAATAACATATGTGAGCAAAGGCGCGTAGGGGCTTAAAATTTACCTAATATTTTTCTCATACATCTCTTGTCAAGACAGTTTTTATTAGGTACAACAGCTTCTCAACAATCCGCCAGTTGGGCAAAATTCAGACTTTTTCAAAATGGACTTCCAGATTTATCCAGAAATTTGGCAGCTCTTACCAAGCACTTTTGAGGACTTACAAGTTTCGACGACATGAGAGTACGCTTTGGCCAGTATTTGAACTGCTCTAGTACGTTCGAGAGCTCATGCACTGTCAAGGGAGTTCATTCACAAAATGCTGATTAATTTGTTTAAAATGTTTTAAATTGCACATGCACAGTAATCTAGTTGTAAATATCAGGATGACACAGCACTCTCACTCAAATAAAAATAAAAAACAGTAATTTTATTTGTAACTTATTAACATCGATAATCAAGTTCGAACTGTGTTTCAATTGCCATTTTGGGAAACTACAGATCACAATCTTCAAAATGATGTATAACAAGACTGGTTTCCGAACGTGTGGAGAGCTTGACAGCCATCACAAGAAAGGACATTTCAGGGGAAAAAACTGCATTTTCTTTTTAAATGGAGGAGGGGGGGGGGGGTCATCTTTGTGAGTGTTTTTGAACATGTTGTTATTGACAGGGTCATAAGACCCCCATTTTGCAACAGTAAATATTTCAAAGTACTCAAATCCATTAACAGCTGAATTTCGATCTGAGGTTCAGAAATGACTTCATTTGACCATGGCCTTCCCCTGCATGATTCCTTAATTTGATGAGTTAGACAACATGGTAAGCACATGCTACTCTTAAACATTTTATATTGTATGCTGACTCCTGATATTCTCATTGCTAACCCACAGATCGACATCAGCAATGGTGTTACAGAAGAAAAACAGTTTGCTCATTTTTTCTAGTTTCACAGTCAGAGCATACCACCATCAGCATCACAATATGCCATAATATTAGTAAAAGACAGCGTTTACTCACGAAACTCTCAACAGTCTTTAACAGCTCCTCAATAACCACAGCGATGCCTTGATAGCCCAACAGTCGACAGATGGCACGGAAATGAGGGGCGCCCACAAAGCCAGAGTACAAGCTGAAGATGGTGCTGAACGAATGGTTCAGACGCTGAAATATCATAAAAATACATTTATGTCTATTTTTTTACATATTTAATATGTAAAACAAAGACATGTATCTATACAAACACACACACATATATGTATATATATGTATGTATACATACAAACCAGCGATGTCACATTTTGTAAGTTTTGAGAAAAGTGAAAATTTAACTTTGACGACTTCTGGTCATCGCTGTGTTCACAACCTTGAAAATATATAAAGTATGTCCACTTAGGGATCATAACATGACATAGTCAGTCTTTAGAGTGCTGTTGTGTGTGGTTATGTCATAAAGTAAATGTGTGCGAAAAGGATATTCGCTGGTTTTCCCCTTGCAATCCCATATTGTCTCATTTACATCCTATTTTGATATTTGATGGCTTGAAGCTCTTGTAATAATTTATTTATGTTATAACTTCATAAAGACTTGTAACAACCCCCCCCAGATAAAAAAATACTTTTGCCGATATTCATTTATCACCTTATAGAAAAATTAAGTTTAGTTTTAGTAGAGGTGTTACGGCACTCGCAACTGCATAAGGTCATTTGAGCGCCAGAAGATTAGAGGTGTTACAAGAGAGAAACAAACATAAAAAAGAAGAAGGGGAGATAAGGACTATAGATAGAAGTAGAAAAAGCCATTAAAGAGATGTTTAAAGGCAAAGTAGTGGGACCTTATCAAATCCCACTGAAAGCAAATGAAGTACTCGGTGAATGGAGAGAGCAGAAACCTGCTCAATACTTTCAATTAACTGAAAATATTCCATGAGACATTACTTCTATATTCATCATGTTACCCCCAAAATTCTGGAACAACAGACTACGAATGCTGCAAACAATTATTCTTATGAGTCACTCAAAGGTCTACAGGTACTGCATTGGCCTCTTATTTAATAGGTCCCCGTTTTAAAACCTGACTTGGCTACTCTTTCCCTTAAACCTGACTCTATTGTTACTCTAGCTCTTTCTACTGTCACTCCTGGCTTTTAACACAACTACTGAGGTAGAAAGTATGAAAATGTAGGTAGGAGGGGCAACTCGCAGCTGCGGACAATATGAACTGCACAGGCCCTGAGACTAACAAAAACCTTAAACAGAAAGAACCAAAGCACAGTACTCCACCCCCAAATGGAGCTGAACTACTAAACTACTTTTTGAACTAGACCAATCAAGAAAATCCATCACTGTATTTGCTTTATAATCATGCTTATGATAATGGCCAACAATTGCTCCTCCAAAGCCTTTATTTACCAACAGCAAATATTTCTTCCTCCCAATCTCAATCTAAATAGCAATCTATACTACAACAGCACCCAGGTTACAGGCAAGGACTAAAGAGCTGCTGAATTAAGAAAAACACCAACAACTCCAAAAACTATGATGAAAGCAAAAATAAGAACAAATCACCTTTGTGCCCCAGATGTAGTGCACAGAGGGGTTGGGAGGCTTCTCACGCTTTGTCTCTTTGCCAAATGCTATCTTGGTCTTCACAAATCTGTTTTTAAAAAAAAGCAATAAAATTAGTAGCTGGTAGGTATCTCCTGTTTACTGAGCTATCGACACAAATCAGGCGATCTAAACATTCAAACAAACATTACAAAATGCAAAGATGCTCTGTTTTAGGTTCTGAGGCACCCGTAATAAGATACTGATTGACAGTAATTAACAATATAAAAAAACAGGGCTTAAAAGGCACTAAGAGGATAAATAAGAAAAAGGGTTCACATAACAGCTACATCTTTGCACAACAAAATTTGCAAGACAATAACGATAGTCTGGTGAACCGTTTTCTGGTATTAACATTTTTTAGAATGTTGCTTTCTCTCGGACCAAGTTCACTCATGTATATTACACCTCTGAAATGAACTCAATTCATATATATGTTGTTACATCTATGATGCAAAATCATCCTGTTGTAGCCCATTATATGAAGCTTCAGCTTGTTTTATTTTTTGAATAATTACTGTCTAGCAAGCATATAGCGAAATCAGAAAGACACTTAAACCATTTCATTAAGTATGAATTTCACTATACACCGATTTCAGATTGCATGAAAGGACATAGACGTAATCATGAAGGGAGACAGACCAAATTGGACAACTGGTTCAAAACTTTGCTCAAATCATGCCCCCTATGCCATGCCAGTATGCATGTTGGGTCCATGGTCACACATTTTGTAGATTTGGGTTTTTGGCATTGACTTTTCTCAACCTCATCTAAGATCAGCCATTTTTTCTTGACCAAGAAACCTTTCCTCTTCTTTTGCCCTGCCATGGTCCACTTTCTACAACAGCTTCAGCCAGATGTAACTTTTCAGAAGGCCAGCAAGCTGTTGCATTGTGTGTAATTGCTCTTGAAGAGAAAGCTAACTGGCAATTATGGTGAAGAACCAGACACATGCCTTCAGGCCACTGTAAACTCCCCACATGCAACTGAAGTGTGCGGGCTTGATCTGCTACTGAGCACTTAGTGACAAATGCAATAAACATGTCCTTGGCCAACACTTTTGCCCTTAACTCAGAGAGGTCCTCCCTCCCTCCCTCCCTC